CTGAAGTCCATTCAGTATTTAAATTAAGTACACTACTCATACTCTTCTTCCATTGATCTAAAACATCTTGTCTATCTCTTACACTGTCTAATTTAAGTTTATAACCAGTTTGACTAATGGGTTCAAGAGTCACTTCTTCTTGTTTAGGTATATGAGTAGGCATAACCTTGACACTAAACCGGGTAGTCTTCCCTGGTATGTATCTTGGTCGTGTGCAACTTCCTTCTCCTTGGTACTTAGGTCTTTGAATAACATTGTTTACATTAATAATTTCTTCTCCAACATCATTATTATCCATTACTCTTTTTCCTAGTTTGTTTTCGATCTTTCGTTGAACAACTTCTATGGGTAGAAAGTCAAGATCATTTAACTTCATTATTCCCATTTGTTGATATAAATCTTCCTCTAAAGTAGCATAATTTTTTTCCTCTATTTCATTATCAGAAGCAATCCCCTTTTTAGAAATTAAATTCATGATTTCGTTAAGCTTATTAGGGTCTTCTTCTTTGTCGAATAGGACCTGTAATTCATTTAGTGTTTTATCCTGAAAATGAGGGCTCATGTTTAGTTTCTTTATTCTTTTCTTGGTTACTAGTCGGTCTTTTAGGGAGTGTTACAGTAAACTTTTTATTTTTATCTAGGTTTTGAAAAGGATATTTATATTTATATGGGACGATTTTATCTTTATTAGGAGATACTTCTTTTTCAAGTTGATGCCTAACTTCGTTTGTTAAAGCAAGTTGAACCTGTTTAACCTGTTCGTTTAGATCGCTTACTTTTTTATTAATATCGGTTGTGGTTATTGATATCTTATTTTCGATATTAATACAACGAGCATGTATGTTATCAACTTCCGATCTTAATTCGCCAATTTGATCTACTATATAATTAAGGATTGGGCCAAAATTATTAGTATTTTCAGGAATATGATAATAATGCTTAAAATCAGGTTTCTTACACTCTGTAGAGGGCCTAGTATTCTCCAGTTTTACCTAATTATTTATAACTTAATTTAGCTTTTAACCGTTATGGCTCTGATACCAAATCACGTAGCTTAACAATTTCTAATTTAGAATAACTGTATTGTCTTTCTTAATAACAGATTTCACTTATATAATAACGGTATTTAAATATAATACTTAATTTTTAACACAAATACTTATTCTTTTAATATATATAAGTACTGCTGAAAAGATCAAAATAACACCTCGAAAACAATAATTAAAGAAACATATAACAGCATTAAATTTTATTTTAACAGGCTAGAACATAAAATAACAGTATTAAAATAGGAAATAACTTTTTTCCAACACTTAGCGAATTTTTTTTTTCAACGGTGGTATGGACTTTCCTAGTCCCTACCTGGTAGTGGGCAATACTTTCTCCCCCCTACCCCCATCAAGTAGAATGTACCGCAAATCATAGATCAATTACTTAGCACAGTAAGCCTGGTAAGCAGGGGCTTTTCGGGAACGTTAAACAATGTGTATGTCCCTTTCAAACTCCACAAACTAAATGGTACTAAGTTGGATAAGTGGGCATTTGCTGGGAACATGACTGCTGTCCGTGTTACTTCAAAACTCCCCAAATAATACACAATTTTTTCTAAGTTGACACGAAGTTTAAAAAGCACAAAAAAAAAAAAAAAAAAAAAAAAAACCTTGCAACAATCTTAAGAAACATCATTAATGTATTTTATACACTTTACAAAAAAATCCTTAAACAATACCTGACAACATTTTTTTTTTTTTTTTGAACCAGACAACATATTAATCATACGTAAATAGAGGTCTAGATTCTGTAAAATGAAGTCGGAAAGGAAAAAAAAAAAAGTTTCTTTCTGGGATGAAAATATTCCATACCGAGAGATTGAAGAACTAGTATGGGTGTTTAACGTGAAGCCATGACGAATAGAAGCAATGCTTATAAAAGATGCAGTTCCGTCCTCAAAAGAAACATAGCAATTCTATTCACATTTACTGAGCTGAAATGAATATTTTATAAGAGAAGAAAATTAGAAGCTAAACTGAATTGAACTGAACTGATTAGAGCCACTGAAATTAAGTAAATGTGAACAGGCCCATAGTAACATGTTGGTAATAGTAGAACATAACCTCTAGATTTAAATTTGACATATTTATATATATTAATGAAAGATAATATTGATTATCCTATTTTTCATTTACTTATTAATATTGTTCAACATTAACTTTTTTTTAATTGATTTTGTTCAAACTTATAAATTTACGGTGTATAGGGGCATTGCTCAGGCCAATAACTAGTGTTTATTACAATTACATGATCATAATGCACATATATGTAGCTCATTGATAAGCAATATATGAAATTCTCTTATGTTTTCCATAAATTAAATAAGGGAAATAATAGTATTTTTTCCTTAAATAATACAGTGCCACCAAAAGGATGACACACAAAGTATACTTTTTTTTTTTTTTTTTTTTTTTTTTTTTTTTTTTTTTTGTGGCTACTTAATATTTGGAGTTTCACGCTTAGCTTATTATAGCGGTATATAATACGTGCGAATACATGTTACTTACCATCTTGAAATCAGTTCACATTCTTTCAAATTTGTAGCATGCTCTTTTGTAATGGATGACATTATTATTAAGGAGCCCGGCCAATATATCCTATCAAGTGACACATGCGCACCAAACTAACCATGATGACCAAATGATGACCAAATTCTAAGACAAGGGTGGCTGCTGGATAAGCCTAGTACGGAGTAGAAATTAAGAGCATTGATGAAAGTAATTTGAATTGTGAGGTTAGGTTTCCGGGTTGACAAAATTTCAGTTCTTTAGCTATTTTCAAAAAATAAATTAAGGAAATAATATAAAGCTATTCAAGAAGGCTTGGAAGTTGGAACGAAGAGCAATCAAGAAATATAATTTTCTTGACTCTAGTTTGATCCAATATAAAACCTTTTATATATAAATCTCGGTCTTGTATTGGATCAATATATTGTTTGAAATATGTATTAAAGCTCTTAGAGTGATTAATTTTCTCCTCTAATTATTTAATATGTTGGGAATAATTGTATATTATGAGATTATATATGTTATACAAAGTATATGCTTATAGAAAAATGAGTATTTTACACTTTTAATTATATTTTTCTAATTTTTTTCATGTTTTTATATGGAGTAAAAAAATTCAGAATTTAAAGTCTATATTTACTCTATACCGATCTAGTTAGGGTATTAGACTGGTTTTGTCCACCTAGTTCAGGTCCAATTTCGACCTTACAATTGTAGCAGGGAAAAAAAAAAAGCAGAAGCCGTCTTTCAGCCAAGAAATATGCTCTAGCAGGACTACAGGACATTAAAGCCATAATTTTACTGAGCCAAAACAAGCACCAATCTATGTACAAAACAAAATCCAATTCCATCTTCTAGCTACCAGTAAATGACAGCATACCTCTTGTAAAAAAAATGACAGCATAAGTGGGTAATTGAAATACAGATAGCAGTGTTAAATATTATATACAAGCCAATCATTAGGCGTCAATTAAGGATACTAAATAGGTCACAAAATAACTACTTTAACTGTGCAACATATATACTATATATAACAAGCGGCAGCAAAGGGTCAGGCATAGCCACGAAATCCTAGAGCAACAACAACAGCTGCAATGGCAGCAACAAGCAGCGACAACTGCAGCACAGCTACAGCAAAACAACAGCGTTGCAGCAACAACATAACAACAATAACACCAAAAACAGCGAAAACCCAACAACGACCACATCAACAACAGCTGCAACATGGGGCAGCAGCTGTATGGAACATCAGCAGCTGCTGCATCAGAGAATACAGCCACAAACATGGCAAAGAAACCCAAATCATAACTATCAAAGGGCAAACTTCTCATATTCTGTCGAAAAGCCATTTGACCTGAAGACTAAATTACTAGAAATCAAAATCTCATGTCATTTCCAACCCAAATCGCAGTACTAAATCACAAACGACCAACCAATAATCAATAATCCAGCCACCAAGTCCCAAACAATGACAACCATTTTAGTCATTATATTATTGACCATTTGCCCGTAAGTAGAACTACTAAAACAAATGTAAGCCTGTCCATCACTGAATGCTACATTTTAATTTCTGCCATTGACTTTAGTGTCATCACAATGCACCAGAAAGCAGAATACGAAGATCCGACTATTGCACACACCTATGAGATATAGCTAAAAGTCTAAAACATGAAACACAGAAATCAGACAACACTATAGCTAAAACAAAGCTTCAATAATCCAAAGGGGCTGTGACCAATATCATTAAGTAAATACAACAGAATCAAGCTTCTAAAGTAATTCTAAGGTATATCAGACCAATAATATATTAACGGTTATAGGTTGTGTAGAAATTCATACAAACCAGCATAACTATAGATCACACTGATTTCCAACATGCGTTTACAAGTCTGAAACCTCAAACTATGCATCAAGTTCCGAATATGAAGGAAGGAATCATCAACCTGTTGATCCTGTTTTATCAAGGAAACCATAAGCACAATCTAAGAAATCTAAAACTAGGAGCTACACTATACTCATGAGGCACCTCACCTGTAACACTAAAAGAGCATAATAAAATACTATTGAAGAAACAGAATTAAAAAGACAGAATAAGACAACTGCAGCACAGCTACAGCAAAACAACAGCGTCGCAGCAAAAACATAACAACAATAACACCAAAAACAGCGAAAACCCAACAACAACCACATCAACAACATGCAACATGGGGCAGCAGCTGTATGGAACATCAGCAGCTGCTGCATCAGAGAATACAGCTACAAACATGGCAAAGAAAAAACCCAAATCATAACTATCAAAGGGCAAATTTATCATATTCTATCGAAAAGCCATTTGACCTGAAGACTAAATTACTAGAAATCAAAATCTCATGTCATTTCCAACCTTCAATTAAGAAGAAACAGAACACAGTAGAGAAAAGGGAGGATGAGAGAGAGACGAAAAGTTTGTGTATTTTTATTCATGATTGTAGAACATTTACATTGGCACCAAAACAACTTTGTCCTAACAAACTTCTAATGACTTCTAAAATACAAAGAGTCTAACAAAAAGTTAATCAAAGTGGTAAGTGGTTGAGAATCCTATCTATATCATCTTGCTTAATTCTGAAGCAATTAGAGCAAGATTTGGCCAGTTTTTAACCCCAATAATGAGAGTAATCATAGCTTGAATCAGTTTCCTACCAATGAGAAGCACTAGATGCTGATCCACTTCCATATCTTTGTGAATTGAGTGACCTAACAAATCTGCTTGAAGGAGGACGTAAGCCTTCACATGTGGATCATTGTACTTAAACTTATACAATGGCAAACGCATATCCTTTATTAACCTCCTAATCAACTTCTTCTCTTTATGCCATACTATTAAGTCAGAAAACTCATAGGCCTTTGTAAGAATCTGTAGCAAATCATCCATATTAGCAGTAGCACTTAAGCAAGAGTTGTAGAGTGCCACAGTACTGCACTTCACCCTATAATGTGATGCAATAATACCAAGACTCGAAGGACAGATAGAAGAAGAATCGTCGATAGACATGCATTCAAGTTCTTCAAGCCTGTACAGAGACTGCTGGACAATGGTTAGGAATTGATCCAATAACGGCTTTGATTCAGGATCAGATGGATCGAGATTTGTATAGAGAAAAGTCCTCCCCACATACGACGGCAAGTCTTCTATTCTTCTAATGATCCCCCTAACAACATCAGTATTCATATAATCAACCACATCAGTAAAATTATGCAAAGAACTCTGTAGAGTTATTACTCTATCAAACTGCAAATTGTGGTTCTTTCTTTGTCTACTGCAGATTTTTACACAATGCCCACAATCGTCTTTCAAAGGCCTACCAGCACATCCCATCATTTGTATAATTTGGGTTGATTTACAGTAATCCACTGTGTATACCCCCTGTGGTTCTACAATTATAACCACATGGGCCATCAAAGGCTCAAAGCACATTGAGGTGGGAACCACGCACACTTGAATCCATCCATAACCAAATAACATCATAACCAATTCTTTATCTAGTTTGGTCAATCCTTCATGCAAGAAACCCACGCCATATCTTAAACAAATTCTCGAAGTAAAATCTTTAATTGCGTCAGTGGCAACCTTCAACTCTGTTAAAGTACAATTTCGAAATTGTTTATTCTCTTTTGGTGAAGATCGTGCAATAATATGGAGGGCTACAGCTGAGGAACTCTTTGGAGGGACATAAACCAAAGCTACACTACCCTGTTTATTATACTGAAGTATAGCTTGGTAACATGCTTTGGTAAGAGCAACTAAAGCATAATATTCATCATCACCAGCACTGTCTACTACCTCAACACCAGGAACGTCTACCACCTCAACTTTAATGTCTAGAGGCACACGCATCAAATTGGATGGAAACTCGAAACAACACTCAATTCCAAGCCATTGTTTGACCTTATCAGCATTTGTAACAATGCTAAATAAAGCAATAATCCTAGCCTTTATTTGTTTCCTCTTCTTCAAATAAGAAATCCGAGACGTGATCATCTCTAAAAGAGGATGATCCTCTATGAGGTGGAGCTCATCCAGGATAAAAAGACTGACAATATCACTTTGCCACAATGCCTTACATGCCACCACTGTAGTAATGATTATAGTGCGAAATTGCAACTTTTGCTAGTCTCGATCAGTTTCTTTCCCACTTGACTTCACCACATTTAGTCCTAGCCCTTTACCAAATTTTTCTCCCCAGCAGTCAAACAAATAATTTGCAGCCTCCTCCAAAGGGGTGATATACACAGCAAGGAAATCTGATTTTTTGTAATCTCTCAATATAGCAAACTCAGAAGCACTAGTCTTTCCATTGTTCTTCATAGCAAATATTAATGCATCCTTAGTTGAGCCAAATAGCACAGGAAAGACTGCTTCTTGCAAAAGACTAAAGTAAGTGTATCCAAAGTGTTGCAATTCAATGGGAATGGGAGGAAGAGACTGAAAGTGATTTCAAAAATAATAATAAAAATTACAAGAGAGTCCAAAAATGACAATTCAATAATCAATAATTTGGTTAGCGTTCAAGAAATCACAATTTAACATTAAAATTCTCAATTTAATCCCAAATTAATATGATAATTAGTCAGTAATACAGAATTAAGAGTATCTGCTTTTTGACATCAGACCTTAGAAAATTAAATTCGAATTTGATAAAAAGGCTTATACCCTTATTTTCATTTATTGGGTGAATATATAATTAAAGATATTCAAAAGATATGGTCAAACAAAAGATAACCACAATAATAGCAATACTCAATCAACAACAACAACAACAACAACAACAACAAAAATCAATCCTACAAATTATATCTCCTAATAATCTTGTACGAGTACAAATAATCCACCCTAAAAAATTGCTCATCAAATTGAAATCAAAAGACATACCTAATAAACCTAAAATTAAGGATAAAATATCCCAAAATTATAGCTCCTAATAATCTTGTACGTAGTACAAATCATCAACCCTAAAAAAATTAATCCAATTGAAATAAAAAGATATACACAATTAAGGAAATGATATCCCAAAATTATATCCTAATAATTCCAAGAATCTTGAACGTTATACATTACAAATAATCTAAATAATCCAAACGAATTCTTTAAACCTGGTACTATTTGCCGACAACCAAGATTTAATGCAATAAGAAAGTGATGAGCATACCATGAGGTCCATGTCCGATTTGCAAAAACTGGTAGCCGACTTGTGTAAAGCGCCGAAGAAGACAACTTCTTTTGATCTTCGCCGTAAAGGAGGGATGCAGCGATTGTGGTGAATTGGACAGGACAGAGTATGAGAAGATTCAAGAGATTAAGAGGTCCGGTGAGCTTGGAAGATTCGGTGTGTAATTTATTTGTATGCGACTGAATGAATTGTATCGGGGCATCAATGGGGACAGAGTTGAGCGCGGGAGAAAACTTATTTGATTAGAACAAAAAGAGCGTTGCCCAGTTAATATAGCATAATAACAAAATATGTAGCAGTGTCAAAACGGTTTGACAGTTCGGTTTCGGTTCGGTTTGAAATCGATTCGGTATTTAATCGGGTCGGTTTGGAATCGGTTTAATTGTCTCACGGGTCGGTTTTGATTTGGTTTAAATAGTTATCGGTTCGATTCGGTTTCGGTTTATTTTTAAGCGGTTTTAATTCGGTTCGGGTTGTAAACAGTCCGGGTAGTAAACGGTTCGGTGCAGACGGATTGCGGTTTGTTAACGGTGCGGTGTAAACGGTTTTTATCCCGGTTCAAACAGTTTCGGGTTGGAAACGGTTTCGGGTTAGAAACAGTTCAGTTCTTTTTTGGTTCAGTTTATAACTGGTTCGGTTCTTTTTCGGTTCAGTTTTTAACTGGTTCGGTTCTTTTTCGGTTCAATTTATAACTGGTTCGGTTCTTCGATTGTTTAACCACTTTAACGTTATTCATATCGGTTCCATTTCAAGTTTACTAAATTATAGTTGAATCTGAATTAAAACATAGCCTAATAGTATATTCATGTCACTAGCACACTCCCATCTTTATTTCATTATTACTCACAGAATCAATGTAATCCTATGCTTAATAGTCTCTGTGAATTAATTTTATTTATTACGCCTTCATCCAAGCCTTGGTACTTAATATTACAAGCTTTTTGTTCATTTGGTTTCATCACCTCAAATGTATACATGACTAGAGGCAGTAGTGTTGCTAATAGTTTGAGGCAGGGTCTGAGCCTGCTTATTTTGCTCTTGTTTGTGAACACTGATTGTCCTTAAGACCTTATTGAATGATTTGCCTTGCTATTTTAAAAAAACTATTCTAAGATTTCTAATATTTAATCCATTTAATTATATCCCCGTAAAAAAAAAAACAAAATCCATTTAATTATATAAAAAAGTTTGTAAACGGTTCGATTTAGAAGCGGTTTGGTTCATAAACGGTTTGGTTTATAACCAGTTCGGTTTACAATCAGTTCGGTTTTTAAATGGTTCGGTGCAAACGGGTAGCAGTTTGCTAACGGTTCGGTGTAAGCGGTTTTTTTGCCAGTTTAAACGGTTTCGGGTTGGAACCGGTTTCGGATTTAGATATGGTTTCGGTTCTTTTTCGGTTCGGTTTTCTTTCTGTTCGGTTTATATTCGGTTTGGTTTGTTAACGGATTCGGTTCTTATACGGTTTAACATTATTCGGGTCGATTCGGTTTCGGGTTTACTAAAATACAGTTTGGGTCGGTTTTCGGTTTCAAAAAAATCGGTTTTTAATCGGTTCGGTTCTCATTTGGATAGGTCGGTTTCGGGCAGTTAAACGGTTTCGGTTTGAAATTTGACAGCACTAAAAATATGTCAATATAGTGGCAAAGTTGCAATTATGATAGGTTGCAGCTATTATTTTATTGTTTACAAGAATTTTCTCGAACAAAAATGAGCTTATTTGATTCTTTGGTAAAAGAGCTTTTTAAATGACCTTATTGAGGCAAATAAGCTAATTTGTAAAAAGCTAGAAAAATAGAACTTTGTAGATTAGCTTATTGAGTAATTATCAATGTCCTAAATTGTCATTTCATATGTTTAGCTAACAAACAACTACAAATAATAAGCTAATTTTACCCAACAACTCTACATAAAAAGCTCTTATAAATCAGCTAGTCAAAACAGCTTGTGCAACCAGCTAGTCAAATCAGCTAATGCAACCAGCTCTTACCAATCAGCTAACCGCTAATTACCAAACAGAGCCATTCTTGCCTAAGAAGAGCGGAACGGTGAAAAAAAAAAAACTTAATATTGAAGTAGATGAAAAAGTTATGGCGCCATTTTCATAAAATATTACTTCGTCACGTTACGAGCAAGCTATTTCGTGTAGTTTTGGCAATCATTTGTATGACAAGGACATAATTGAAGCTAGAGATATTAAAGTCAGATAGTTAATCTTCTAATTCAAAGCACATTTCGGGTATCATTGAACAATAATGTTTTAAAAAGTAGCTGAAGAGGTTGAATTCCTATAATTGAACGGAAAAGACTTATTGAATTTGATATATTTGATAAATTAGGTATTTATAATGAATTACTCCAATATAAATGATTTTAAGTAATACAGGTCAAAGAAAATACTGTTTTCAATATTGCAATAAGTTATTTTTTTTTGAGGAAACGATGGAGCATTTTATTAATATCAAGTAATATCCATTTCCGTCAAAGTAGTGATACTTTGAGGGAAAGAATACAATCGTACATACGGAGTATTTCATGTGATCATTTGTATCCTATCTAGCAACTAAATGAGCAACGATATTACATGAACGCTTAACATGAGAAAAGTTACAAACATCAAATCATGCTCTATCGATACTTATATCATCAAAAATAAAAAAGATCGAAGAGAGGCCTCTATCCAATGAGTTCACTTTCTTGATGACATTCACGGCGTCCGACTCAATCCACACCTTCTTATACCCCATACGGATTGCAATGCACACAACAAATCTCACAGCCATAGCTTCCACAATCGCAGGACTCGAGCAAGCACCTTCTTTGTAGCAGTTAGTAGGATTCTGCCTTCATGATCGCGTACCACCACACCCAAGCTAGCCATACCAGTTGAGGGAACATGTGCATCCGTGTTAATTTTCAGGCATCCAAAGCTCGGGGGCTGCCAATTCGAAATTCTACTAGCACCCCCATTAACATCGGGCATCTTAATCACCTTGTGAGCATAAGCAATTTAAGCATTATAATCTTCCGATAAAACTTTTGCATGCCTCTATTTACAATAATTTTATTGTACATCGAATATTTTGCGAAAAAACGACCTTTTTTTTTTTAACAAAAGTGGCCCTTTTTCTTTTTTTACAAAAGTGACCCTTTTTATTCACAAAAGTGACCTCTTTTTTCTTACAAAAGAGACTTTTTTTTTTTTTTTATACAAAAATGACCTATATTTTCACAAAAATGACCATTTTTTTTCACAAAAGTGACCTTTTTTTTCACAAAAATAGAGTATCAAAATCAACAAAAATTAACAATAGTCATAAAAAACAGTATAATCACTCAAACAAATAAAAATAATAAAGATCGACATCACATAACAATAAAAATGAATTGCATGTGCATGTTACTATGCTTGATAATGTTAATGTTGCCAAGACAGGCAAGATATTGCAAACTAAGAAATACTTTTATTCTCACTTGTGTAGGCTGTATTACTCGAATAATATAATTATATAATTGATGACGGGAAGGTTTTATTTCTGAGTTTGAAGAATCTGATGCATAAAAGCAACATATTATGTTTAAGCTTTGATTCTTAAGCTCCGCCATTGATGACGGGAAGGTTAATTCATTACTCTTATTGTACTTCCATATACATTGACGGACCTAGTTAATGTCATGGTGAGTCATATGACTCACCAGTGAGGCAAAAAAAAATCAATTTATTTTAAAAAAAAAACCATCACCCTTTCGGACGGTCCAAGATGCCAGTAGTCACAATGAAAGAAAAAGGGGAAGACAGTCATGAAAGCTTTCCTCTCGTGCTTCTGTAAAGAGAAGAACCCTATCGGCGTTAGACCGGGTTACGGAACTGACGGAAATGGAAGTAGATGTTTTGGGGGCAAGTTGAGTCTTGGAGGACTCAAAAGGATGGCTGCCATTGAGCCCCGGATGTAGGTGAGGTCTAGTGTCATAACCTTGATGGGGAATTATAGAAGCGTTGGAATAGGAAGGTTGATGGCCTTGATGGGGATACACGGCCAGCTTTGGAAAAGATAATAAGGGCTTGGTTGGTTATAAGGGAGGGAAGCAGGATAATGCTTCAAGTATGGGAGGAAAAGCTTAAAATTTAGATTTAGAAAGCTTTCACATTTGGAAAGGACTAGTCATTGGAAGTTCAGGCTTTTCAACGTGAAGTGTCTTCACCATGTGTTTTTTTTTTTCTTTTTAATTTTCATGGATTATATATTAATAAATGTAAGTTCATAGTTTTCATTTAAATTTCACGGCTTATTTAATAAATTTTGGTTCATAGCTTACGGGCTAATACACACCCACGGGCGGATTTGGATGTTGTCCTGGTGAGTCATATTACTCACTAGTCTACCCAAAAATAAATTTATTTGAACATTTGGTTGTATTTTATACTTTTTGAATATTTGGTTGCATTTTTAGTATTATTATTTGATTGTTTGGTAAAAAAAATTTATTACATATTTTATTATCAATTTTGACTCACCGGACGAAAATTCCTAGGTCCGCCACTGTCCATATATGTAGTCTGGTAGCAACTGCTATGCCTTTGTTTGATTTGCAAGTTTTGAAGAGTTGTGTGGGTGTTTGAGGTGGTGATGGCGGTGGTGCGGCTGATTTCGCCGGTGGTACGTCTAATTTCGGCGGTGACTCCATTGCTTAGAGTTGAGGTAAGAGAGAGAAAATTGAAGTTGCCCAACCCGATTTACACTAATTTAGTGTAAATCAGGTGTTATTAAATATTTGTATATAATCTTCCGCGGGCTTACAAAAACCAGCAGCAAGCATCACAAATTCATTGTAAAAAATCAACAAGTTTTTGCATCTCCATGCTGCCCACATAAGTGCAGCCATAGAGCACACGGTTTCAGCATCAAACTTGCGCACCATCCATTCCCACAGCACCGCAAACGAGTCCATAGGGGCATCAATAAGATTAAGCTTCAAATTACTATGATCCCATATAGCCAAAGCCGCCTCTCATTGTAGTAAGGAATGTATAATAGTCTCCTCCTCCATCCCACATATTTGACAACTACTATCAGTCACAATGTGCCTCTGAGCAAGCCTAGCCTTCACAACTAAATTACCCTTTTTTTTTTAGACAATGGCTAAAAGGAACATACAAATAAACTAGTCTTCTCATTTGTCCTGCTAGTATATGTGTTGGGTGAACAAGTTCCCTTTGGACTTTTAAGCAGACAAAAAAATCAATTTGCCCTGCCATTAGTCTAATCTCCTTTATAATGTTCTTCCGTTGTACCGGGGCTTGGGTTGGCTATTGAGAGCTCTGACCACCAACTCACAGTCTGTCTTGAGAATAATATAATGTTTTTGTATTGAGGCATATTATCTTTTAAGGCCCAAAAAACCGCATATCCTTCAGCTTAGAGAGCATCTTGAGCTTGGATTTTCCTAGCCTCCCCTGGTGAGTGCTGTCATCGCCCTTCTTTCTGACATGCTACAGCCGCACTCCAACTTGGTTTGTCTTTGATTGCCCTCCGTTTCCGAGCTGCATCCACAATAATGATTGATGTCCTTGTACCTGCAGAAGGAGTACTTGCAAAGAAAATACATGGTGTTTGTATTGCTTTCCCTTCCTGTGACGTCCTGTCTAACTGTTCTTCTGACTTCAACTTGCTCGCTTTTCTCCACTTCTGAGCATGTAACTATGCTAACTCCAATATGTTTATTGGACTAACACTCATGCCTCTGAAAATGATTTCATTTCTGTGCAGCTAAATCGCTTGCAATAAAAGCATCAATGATTGAGATAGATCACTCCCATTTTCCCTTTTGAAGGAGTAAGCAAGGATATCCTTCAACCATTTGTTGAAAGGGATATGACAGTTTTCATAGGTCTTATCCCCAGAAATCCCCACCATACTCTAGCAGAGATCTCACATTCCCTGAAAAGGTGTGCTACACTCTTTGTTACAAAAAACACAGTGTCCTTCTGAGATTGCTTCTCGTAGGTAACTTGTTGTGTATAATTTTCCATCCAAGAAGAAGAACTTTCGGCCATGTTCGAATCTTCCAGAAATTCTTCACCCTTAACAACACTCCAAATAAAGTGTTGTAGCTTTGGTGGTCCCTTCATCCTCCAAACTAACTTCCATACCCCCACATCTACCCCCCTATTTGCTACATTGTTGCTTCCCATCTTTGCCAACCAATAACCCGAACGCACCGTATATACTCCATCTTTAGTGTATCCCCAATATTGTAAATCCGGGCAGCTTCTCAAAGGCAAAGGCACAACAAGAATATGAGCACAAAACTCATTCCCAACCAAATTTGTAACCTGTGCAACATCCCATTCTCCCCCACTATCACTGAGCAGATCACGGACCATTGCATTTAAATCACCACCATTGGGCCTTGGAACTAAGATCGGTTTTCCATCAACACTGATCCATGAATCAGACCACAAAATTATACTCGTCCCATTTCCAACACGCCACATTTAGCCATTTTGAAGAAGCCCTTTTGCACCCCACATGCTCCTCCAAGTAAAACTTGGGTTAAAGCCACCCCTAGCCTCAAGAATCAAAGAATTCTTGAAGTATTTTGCCTTGAGAATCTTGTGTAACAGTGTTGACTCATTTGTGTGCAGCCTTAACAATCGCTTAGCAAGAAGGGCTTGATTAAAGCACTTCAGATCCCTAAAATTTATGCCACCCAATTTCTTAGGTGCACAGAGCTTTTCCCAACTTGCCAATGCAACCTCTTCTCACCCTCCCTCGATCCCCACCAAAATCTACAAAGAAGGGTATGAATTTCATCAATAAGTCCCTCCGGAATCTTGAACACACTCAACATATACGTGGGAATGGCTTGAGCTACGACTTTTATAAGAACCTCCTTACCTGATTTAGACATCAATCTCTCCTTCCACCCATTCAATTCTTCCATATTCTTTCTTTCAAGCAGGCAAAAATAGCTTTTTTTGGACTTACCAATTATTGTTGGTAACCCCAAATATTTTTCATGTCTCTCAACCTCTCTTACACCAAGGGTCTCAATGATAGCACTCCTTCTCTCAACTGAAACACATTTGCTGAAAGCAACCTCCGTCTTACTCAAATTAACTTTCTGACTCAAAGCTCTCTCATAGATACTGATAATATCAGCAATTTTAGAGCATTCCTGTAGAGTAGCTTTTGCAAATAAAATACTATCATTAGCAAAAAATAAGTGTGATACACTTGGTGCAGACCGGTATATTTTGCTCCACTAATTTTCTTCTCTTGAGCTGCTTTAGAAATAAGCACAGAAAAAGCATCGACACAACAACAAGAATAAATAAGGTTATATAGGGTGTAGATATCCATTTGTGTCTCCCCAAAACCAAACCTAGTGATGAATACCTTTCACGTCATTTTATTATCGAACAAAGCAAAAGTGTAAAAAGTCTAGTGATGAGGATGTTTTTATTAAAATATCTCTTCTTTCTGTTTTTGAAAATATTTCTTTTCTTACCCTATTTATAAAAAACGTGCATTCTAGTTTAGTTTGGTCCATGATAAGGGTCCAATAATAGTGTAGTTGGATAGGGCTTGAAAAGACCTTTCCAACGATAAATTATAAGCCCAATTCCGATGAATAATGAGGAAGTTATGGTCAAATTACTAAACTGGGCCCGATTTGATCTTTATATGCGGCCCAATGATCTAGAGGAGGGCCTATTATGAACTATCATTCCTAATGCAATTAGGATCGATTATAGTTTTCTAGAATCTTCTAGAAGGTTCCTTTGAATCCTAACGGGATTAGGATTGATAATTAAGTTTTATGACTTTTATTTGGAATAAAAGAAGTGTTTTATGTGAAATTACGATTTTACCCCTCGTACGGACTTTTATGAATTAATTTTATCAAAAAATAGAAAATGTGTGGAAAAATCTCATGCAGCGCCGAACATCAGACTGTCACCTAGCGACAGACCCTGTCGCGCGACAGGAGCTGTTGTTGGCGACAGCGGCGTGTTTTATTCATTTTCGAACTCTGATTCGTTTTTATCAAATCCGGATTTTTTTCATTATAAATAGCGTCTTTAGACCTCCGTTTTTAATCATCTACATATAAAATTCAAAACAATCATCTCTCTCTCTAAAAGTTAGAAGCTTTCCTTCTCTCTCTATTCTTTTTCTAAACATTCCCTTTTACAAAATTCCTCATACAGTAGATCTAGACACACCTAGCCAAGTTCGAAGTTGTCTTCGCCCTAGACATGAAAGGTTTGATATTTATGAGGGTTTGTTCCCAAATCTCTATTTCAATTATTTAATTTAATTGTTTGATTTTATATTTTCCTTGAAGTTACTAACGTGTGAATTTTGTTATTAGAAAGAGGTACGATGCATCAAAGTAAGTGCTTTAATTGTTTAATTGATATTATGATACAAAAATCATGTTTAGATTATTATTTTGATTCCTAGTATCATGTTAGGATGCTTTTCCTAATATGATGTTTAGGGTAATAACTAAAATTTCTAATATCAAGTATGATTGTTATGATGCTTCCTATTTTTTTCCTAATATTCATGTTAGTATCATGTTAGAGTTAAAGCTTTGATCTTTAATATTTAGTGACATGCTAGGGTTTATTATTAATCTTGTTAGTATCATGCCTAGGATCTACTAATATTATTATGCTTTATTTTTAACTTGAACATGATTATTATTAGTTTTTTTTAATTTTTATTATGATTATGATTATTATGTTGCTTGATGATTTTTATTGTTATTGCTTGATCACACCTTTTATGCATGTTTAAAGGAAATTTATATTTGTAAACACGCTTAATAAGATAATTAATAATCTTGTTTAGGGTTAATTTGGTTATAATTCAAGTGATCGCCAACAATAGATTTATTTGTGCATTAATATTCAACCAACATAGATTAAACAGGTTTAGGGTAAACCTAATGATTGCAAACCTAATGATTGCATGTTAGCCAAAAAGCGCACATGAATACGAGAAGAATAAAGTAGAGGCCTATTATTAGGGCAGGTTCTTTCTCTTTTAGATTGAATTTGTACCTTCATCCCCGAACTTCCAGTCTTGGTTCCAGACCTATTGGAGTTAACGATCTCCTGGATCGTTAAGGGGTGTAACCTTCACCCTGTGAACGGTTTACAAGTTCCTAAAACTTGTTGGCGACTCTTTTTCTCTAGCTTCCTTCCGTTTGGACGCCACCATGCTTAAGTATATGATCACAGTGGGGTTCAAGTTTGGGGTAATGCTTGAAATATTCCCTACATAAGGTCTCCCTACCGAAGACTACGTGAAGGCATCACATTACCAGAAATGTCACCATTTACCTTAAAAGAAAAAGATACACTGGAAAGACAAAACATGCATGACCCTAGCAATCCAAGCCGAATTGAAACCTATCACTAGTAGAAAAACTCAAATGCGCACCGAGTTATTGGCTCTGGTTCTTAAAAACCGGTGGGAAAAAATTAGGCAGAATTTTGTATAATAGAAATTACACCGGTTCAAACTAAACCGGTGCCAAATTAATGAAATGGCACCGGTTTAAATCGGTGGGAATTTACTGTAAAAAAAACCGTTCCTCTTATTTCCCCCTCATTCCCCTCCTTTCTTTCTTTTTCCTTCTGATCGTTTTCTCTCTCGATCTCCTCTTTCTCCTCTCTCCTCTCCTTTTCTCTTTTTCATTCCACCATACCCAGCGGCGATGATCACAAAAATCTAACCTCCTAGCTTAGATCTTTTGAATTTTCAAATGTTATTTGCTCGAATTAAGGGTATTTTTGCTCGATTTTCTGCGGTTTTTGTAGTTCAATTTTGTGGGGGGTTTTGGGTCAATTTTTTGCTCGAAAACAAAGGGTTTTGGCTCGGATTTGTTCGAATTTAGGGGGTTTGGCGCGGATTTGCTAGGTTTTCAAATACTCTATTGTAGCTTAGCAGCATTCTTTCAAAAATCTTCGCATTCAGCACATTAGCAAAAAAAAAATCCCTTTCTTCTACACCAAAAAAAAAAAAAACCCAAAATGAAAAAAAAAATACAAAAATGGAGGAGGAAATTGATGATGGGGTTTTCAGCATGGATCAACTATTAGATGAAGAAATGCATCAAAATTCAGATTCTAAAGCAGAATTAGAGTTTATGGCACAAGGCCAACATGAGAAATTGTTCGAAAATAGAAGCCACAACTTACAATCGCAAAGAAAAGAGAGATTGTTGATGAAATTCTAAAACTTATGCATAATGGCAGCTTACCAAGGGGTGCTTTAGCCAGATTTGCAAGGCATTTTGGCATTCACAAGTCCACAGCAACAAGATTATTTCAAGAAATATGCAAGCAACTGGCAGAAGGGACTATTATCGATGTCAAGAGCAAGAAGTTAGGCAAGTGTGGCAGAAAAGCAAGGCAGTACACTGAGGAATGGTTACAATCAGTCCCTTTGTACCTCAGAACAACTGAGAGAAGTTATGCTGTTGCACTTGGCATTTCTCATGTCACCCTCCACACATTGAAAAAAAGGGCATTCTCAGAACACATACAAGTACAAATAAGACAAGACTGACATCATATCACAAAATAGCAAGGCTTAGGTGGGTTTTGAATCACATACAACTAGCAACTACAAATCCAACATTTGAAGACATGAGCAATATGATTCATATTGATGAAAAGTGGTTTTACATAAACGCGGGGGCAAGAAGATTTTATCTTTTGCCCAAGGAAGAAGATCCATATAGATGTTAACAGTCCAGAAGGTTCAAGATAAAAGCTATGTTCATGGGCATCATTGGAAAGCCATTGTATGATGCACAGGGTTATTTGATTCATGATGGGAAATATGACATACTTCCCTTCGTGTTTCAGCAAATGGCAAAGAAAAAAAAATTAAAAACAGAGATGCTTGAACACTTGAATCAAAGCCAATTCAGAACATAAACAGAGAAGCAATTAGGGATATGTTGCTTAACAATGTGATACCAGCCATTGTAAGCAAGTAGCCTGCAAACATGCCAAAGGTCGTGGTTATACAATGAGATAATGCCCGGCCACATCAAATTCCACAAGGTGAAGAATTTATTGCAGCAACTAGGCAAGGGGGGTTCAACATCAGAATTGTATTCCAACCAGCATAATCTCCTGATTTAAATGTGCTAGATTTGGGTCTGTTTAGGGTGGTTAAATCCCTATAGTATCAATCCTTTCCTAAAAACTTAGATGAAATGATAGTGAAGCTCAAAGAGGCTTATTATGCATTTCCAGCAATTGTAAACAAGTATACTTGGATAACATTGCAAACATGTATGGTTAAAATAATGAAAGTGGAGGGAGGTAACAAATACAAGATTCCACATATGGGGAAGCATATATAAACTACAAAGACTTGGGTTGTTACCAGAACAATTGGAGGTCAACCAAGCCCTCATTAACCAAACAGTCAACTACCTCAACACCATGTTCATCCAGACAGATCAGAATTAGGAAGGGACTCAGAACCAGCAAGGAGATCAGTTAGAAGTGGATGCAGACTAGAGGGAGAGTAGCTAACAACAGGACTGCCACACATAACCAACATTTTGTTGATACAATGGGTTAGTAAGTTATTTTTATTAACTTTGGTTATGTGTACTTTTGTGTCTAGGAAGTTTTTGTCTAAGGCAGTCAAGTTAGAAGACATTTTGTCAAGGGACTGGAATTGTAGCTTATTTTAAAGTGATTTAAAGTCTTCAAAGTAGTGTTATGTAATTTAAATGTGATATGAAGTCTTCTTACTATGTATTTCTTTTTTTGCACATTTACAATCATGCACACATAAGTTGCAACTAAAAGTCATCAAAGGGTAACTAATCCATCAGAGGGTGTAATTTTATCATTAAAAAAACCCAAACCATGTTACCTCAACAGTAAGTGCACAACACTTAAAACTGGAGCAAATCAAAGTTTGGACTAATTTTAATCAATTGAGTCCCTTCACCATTTGGATTAATAATGGGCATGACAATGTTAATTAGGGACTCATTCCACTAGAGATTGAAAACCAAAATAGGGACAGAATAGGCAAGAGGGAGGGACTCAAATCAGCCCATAATTAAGCAAGGCAAGGCAACAGGGAGGTACTCAATGTACTGCACAACAGGAAGGGACTGGAATCAGTCCATAATTAAGCAAGACAAGGCAACATGGAGGTACTCAATGTACTGCACAACAAGAAGAGACTCAAATCAGTCCATAACTAAGCAAGGCAAGGAAACAGGGAGGTACTTAATGTACTGCACAACAGGAAGGGACTCAAATCAGTCCATAATTAAGCAAGGCAAGGCAACATGGAGGTACTCAATG